TGTAGCGCATGCCTGTAATTCCGGCTACTTGGAAGGCTGAGGCAGAAGGATCGCCGGAGCCCAACAGGTCGAGGTTGCGGTGGTCGGAAGCAGCCACTGCACTCTAGTCTGGGCGACAGAGTGAGACTCCAACTCAAAAGAAAAAAAAATGTTTTTCAGGTCTGCCAGTCTGGTGGGGCACATCTGGCTGTAAGTTTGCCAGCTTGTGGTCCTTATATAAGACTCTAATTCTGTCGACATTCTCAGTTTACAGATGAGTTCTCTGGGGTCTGAAGTGGTTGTATAGCTTGCTGTAGGTCAGAGGTTAAGAAGCTTTTTGTGTAAAAGAACAGTTGGTAAAGACTTTAGGCTTTGCAGACCATGTGGTCTCTGTTGCAGTTACTCAACTGCTGCTGTAATGTGAGGGCAGAGATAGATGATAAGGGACTGAGTGGGCATGGTTGTGCACCAGCAAAACACCAAAGACAGGTAGCAATCTGGTTGTGGCCCCAGGAGCCAGAGTTTGCCTGCTGGATCATAGCTCAGAACCCTGACCAGTCTCCCTCGCAGCCTTGCTACCCTGTAGTCCTCTCTTGCACTCTCATGGTCTTCTTTCTCTCCACTGGGACTTAAGTGACTTTTGGGAGATATGGAACTTGGTGTTTTTCACCAGTATTGCCATGATCCAGAGTGTGGTAAATTTTAACTTCCTTTTCAAAGTGGGAACATTATCGTGGCCACTCCAGGCCGCTTGGAGGACATGTTCCGAAGGAAGGCGGAAGGCTTGGACCTGGCCAGCTGTGTGCGGTCCCTGGATGTCTTGGTGTTGGATGAGGCAGACAGACTTCTGGACATGGGCTTTGAGGCAAGGTACTGAGTTTTGGACTTCACAGGCTGTGGGTGAATGGACGATATGGTAGAAAGGAGAACAGTGGAATTCCTTTATCACTTCACAGCAGAGTATTGACTGACCACATTTGAATTCCAAATCATTAGGGAGTTTTAGCCTTCAAATTCTACCATATGGTTTTACTTCCAGTTCTTCTATCTTTGATCTTAAAATGTATTTTTCTCCATTGTATTTTGTTTTGTTTTGTTTTCTGAGTCAAGAGTCTCACTTTGTTGTGCAGGTTGTAGTGCAGTGGCACAATCATGGCTACTGCAGAACTGCCAGGCTTAGGCGATCCTAGTGATCCTTTCGCCTCAGCCTTTCAGGTAGCTGGAACTATAGGCATGCACCACCTGGCTAATTTTAACTTCTATTTATTTATTTATTTATTTATTTATTTAGAGTTGGAGTCTCACTCTGTCACCCAGACTAGAGTGCAATGACCGCTCCCGGCCACCGCAGCCTCAACCTGCTGGGCTCCGGCGATCCTTCCGCCTCAGCCTTCCAAGTAGCTGGAACTACAAGCGCGCGCTACCACACCCAGCTAATTTTTGACTTATTGTAGAGATGAGGTCTCGCCAAGTTGCCCAGGCGAGTCTTGAACCCGCAGGCTCAGGCAATCCACTCACCTCAGCCTCCCAAAGGTGCGGGATTACAGGCTGAGCCACCGAGCCCGGCTTAAATTTTATTTATTATAGAGACAAGGTCTCGCTAAGTTGCTCAGGCTGATCTCGAACCCCTGGCCTCAAGCAATCCTCTTGCCTCTGCTTCCCAAAGTGTTGGGATTACAGGTGTGAGCCACCTGGCTACTTTTTCTTTCTTTCTTTCTTTTTTAATTAGCTTTATTGGGTTATGATTCACAAATCATGTACTTCACCCATTTAAAGTCTACAGTTTGGTGGTTTTTAGTCTCAAAAAGTTTTGTCTTAATTTCACTTTCTTCTTTTTTTTGAGTTGGAGTCTCACTCTGTTGCCCAGGCTGGAGTACAGTAGCACACTCATGGCCACCCCAGCATCGACCTGCTGGGCTCCAGTGATCCTTCCGCCTCAGTCTTCCAGGTAGCCAGAACTATAGGTGCGCACTACCATACCTGGCTAATTTTAAATTTTATTTATTGTAGAGACAAGGTCTTGTCAAGTTGCCCAGGCTGGTCTCGAACCTTCGGGCTCAGGCAAATCTCGCCTCAACCCCGCCAAGTGCTGGGATTACAGGCTGAGCCACCGAGCCCAGCCCGCTTTCTTCTTTTAATTGCCCCCCATTATAAAGGTACAATTATAGGCCTATGTTGGAAAAACTTTGGAAAAATGAAAGTATGAGATGGGTATGGTAGTTCATCCTTGAAGTCCCAGCTACTTGGGAGGCTGAGGTGAAGGCTCACTTGAGCCCAGGAATTCAAGACTTGCCTGGGCAACATAGTGAGACCTTGTCTCTACAAAATTTAAAAAAAAAAAGAAAGAAAGAAAAGAAAAGTATGAAGAAGAAACAGATTGGGCACAGTGGCTCACTTATGTAATCCTAGCACTTTGGGAGGCTGAGGCATGAGGATCACTGGAGGCCAGGAGTTCAAGACCAACCTGGGCAACATAGCAAGAACTTGCCTCTATCAAAAAAAATATGAGCCAGGCATGGTGACATGTGCCTGTAGTCCCAGCTGCTTGGGAGACAGGCTGAAGGTTTACCTAAGCCTAGCAGATTGAGCTCCAGTTAGCTGCTCTTGTGCCATTGCACTCCACCCTGGGTGAAAGAGACTGACTAAAAAAAAAAAAAATTTTTTTTGAAGAAGAAACAAAAATTGCCCATAATCTCATCTCTCAGTAATACCTACTGTAAATATTTTGACAGCTTCTCTTTCTTTTTTTTTTTTTTTTTTGAGTTGGAGTCTCACTCTGCCGCCCAGACTGGAGTGCAGTGGCCGCTCCCGGCCACCGCAGCCTTGACCTGCTGGGCTCCGGCGATCCTTCCGCCTCAGCCTTCCAAGTAGCTGGAATTACAGGCATGTGCTACCACGCCCGGCTGATTTTTTTTGATTTTTGTAGAGATGAGGTCTCTCTGCCCAGGCGGGTTTCGAACCCACGGGCTCAGGCAATCCACTCACCTCAGCCTCCCAAAGGCGCGGGATTACAGGCTGAGCCACCGAGCCCGGCACTCTTTCAGTCTTTTAAAATACCTGTTTAGTATCATGCAGCACTGTTTATTGACCACAGTGGCAATTGGTGGATTAAATGTGAGTTTTCTTCTTTCAGCATAAACACCATCCTAGAGTTTTTGCCAAAACAGAGGAGGACGGGTCTTTTCTCTGCCACTCAGACACAGGAAGTGGAGAACTTGGTGAGAGCAGGCCTCCGGAACCCAGTGCGGGTCTCAGTGAAGGAGAAGGGCGTGGCTGCCAGCAGCACCCAGAAGACTCCCTCCCGCCTAGAGAACTACTACATGGTGAGCACCTGGGCATTCTTCCGCCTCAGTCCTGTGGTTCAGTAATAACGAATGACTAGTGCTGTAGGGATTTGCTTGTGGTTTATTCGGAGAGTAAATTTTTTTTTTTTTAAGTTGGAGTCTCACTCTGTTCCCCAGGCTGGAGTGCACTGACACGCTCACAGCTACCACAGCCTCAACCTGCTGGGCTCAGGTAATCCTTCCACCTCAGCCTTCCAAACAGCTGGAACCACAGGTGTGTGCCACCATGTCCAGCTAATTTTTTTATTTATTGTAGAGATGAGGTCTCGCCAAGTTGCCCAGGCTGGTCTTGAACCCCTGGGCCCAGGCAGTCCTCTCACTTTTGCCTCCCAAAGTGCTGAGATGACAGGTGTGAGCACCATGCCTGGCTGTGACCAATGTTTTTATTACAAATGCACCTGGGGTGTGCTGGGTGCAGGCACAGTGAAACTCTCGTTCCTGGGCCTGTCACAACTGCCGGGCGAAGGGCAGAGTTAAATGTGCAGATGGAACACAGAAAGTCAAGGAACAGGCTCACTCCTGAGGAGACGTGGTCAGGTGGAGACATTCTGCTTCGTAACCTACATGTTGTGTTTTTGACCTGCATTCAGTTTTTTGAATGGGTAGCAGTAAACACTAGCTGCTGTTTCCTGCAGTTTCCTCACAAGGCAGTGGACAGGCTTTTGAAAGTTTGTTTAGTCATGAGCCCCTCCTGGTCATCTCTCTCATCACTGGGATGGGCCACAAGGTGTCAAGCAGTGAGCACAGGCAGTAGGGGAGGCAGTGCCATTTGGATGCCGGAGGAACTCATAGACCAGTGTGTCTGCTTATGGGCACATCAGCCTAATAGCCTGGGGCTGGGGCTTTTTTTGTTGTTTTTTGTGTTTTTTTTGAGTTGGAGTCTCACTCTGTCACCCAGACTGGAGTGCAGTGGCCACTCCCAGCCACTGCAGCCTCGACCTGCTGGGCTCCGGTGATCCTTCCACCTCAGCCTTCCAAGTAGCTGGAACTGCAGGCACGTGCTACCACGCCCAGATAATTTAAAAAAAAAATTTATTGTAGAGATGCAGTCTCGCCAAGTTGCTCAGGTGGGTCTCGAACCCGCAGGCTCAGGCAATCCAGTCACCTCAGCCTCCCAAAGGCGTGGGATTACAGGCTGAGCCACCGAGTCCGGCTGAGCTGGAACCTTTTATTTAGGTCCTGAGGGGCTCCTCAGCTCCTGAAGAGGGCTGCTGTTCAAAATGGGGGCTGGGGGGCTGTACCAGCCTGGGCAACATAACAAGACCCTGTCTCTACAAAAATAAACATAGCTGAGCTACTCGGGAGACTGAGGTGGGAGGATCACTGGTGCCCAGGGGTTCAAGGCTGTAATGAGGTATGATTGTATTATTGCACTGCAGCCTACCCAGTTTAGTACAGAGTGAGACCTTGACCTTAAAACGAAAGAAGACAGAGGCTAGTCTTAAAACCAGAGTGTCCCTACTGCTGATTGCTGGGGACTATAAGGTTGGAGAGACTGCTCTCCTGTTTTTGTTTTTGTTGTTGTTGTTGTTTTGATTTGGAGTCTCACTCTATCGCCCAGGCTGGAGTGCAGTGGCATGCTCACGGCCATTGCAGCCTCAATCTGCTGGGCTGAGGCGATCTTTCCACCTCAGCCTTCCAAGTTGCTGGAACCTCAGGCACGTGCCACCATGCCCGGCTAATTTTTCTTGATTTATTGTAGAGATAAGGTCTTGCCATGTTGCCCAGGCTAGTCTCGAACCCGTGGGCTCAGGCAATCCTCTCTCCTCGGCTTCCCAAAGTGTTGGGATTTTAGGTGTGAGCCGCTGCACCTGGCCTACTCTCCTGTTTGTGTCAATTCTCGGGCAGATATAAGGTAGACCCAGTTTGCAAATCAGAAAAAGCCTAGAGAATATTGAAATCAGACAGGCTCACAGGAAGTGGGAGTTTTCCTTGCCTTGACATTTCTGAGGCCAGGTGGGTAAGGTAGTAGGCGGGCTCTTTTGGGGCAGAGGGCGGGACTCAGTATATAATGCAGCGTGGGAATTGTGGGCTCTAGAGCAAGACTGCCTAGTGCACATGTTGACTTTGTGCCCTACTAAGTAACTGATGAACTTACCTTGTCCTCACCTGTAGAATGGGGGTCATAGTAGCATACCACTTCACAGAGTTGTGTGATTCATTAGCAAAATCCTCATAAAGATGTCTAGGACTACGCTTAGTTCCTAGTAAATACAGATTGAGCATCCCTAACCTGGAAACCTGAAATCCAAAATGCTCCAAAATTTGAAACTTTGTTTTTGAATTGGGGCCTCATCCTGTCCTCCAGGCTGGAGTGCAGTGGCATGATTATGGCTCATCACAGCCTCAACCTGGTGTGGAGTGGCTTAGGTGTTTATTCTATCTCAGCTTCCCAAGTAGCTGGGACTAGAAGCATGTGCCACCACGCGCGGTTAAGTTTTAGAATTTTTTGTAGGGACGAGGTCTCACTCTGTTGTCCAGACTGAATTTGAACCCTTGGGCTCAGGTAGTCCTCCTGCCTCAGCTTCCCAAAGTGTTGGGATTATAGGCATGAGCCACAGTACCTGGCCCCAAATGTGAAACTGTTTGAGCGTCAACATGACACTCAAAGGAAATGCTCATTTGGGCATTTTGAATTTTAGATTTTTGGATCAGGAATGCTCAACTGTTAAGTTTAATGCAGATATTCCAAAATCTGAAGACATTTGAAAACTTGAAAAAATTCTGATCCTGTGGATTTTGGATAAGGGATACTCAGCCTGAACTAATAAATGTTAGTTTTGGACACCCACTATGGCTACTGTTGCATTCTGCTATTTGGCATTCATTTAAGTGACTGTATTTGGGGATGTCTGAGTACATGAGAAAAAAACTTCCAACTGGGAATCTGATTTTGGTAAATATAGGGAGAAATGTTTTCAGATGAATTAAATGTCTCTGGTTTGGGTGTTTGAATAGGGAACATGATAGCATTAAGAGAAACAGTGGATCTGTCTCCATGGAGTCCTTTCAGGTAATTAAATACATTCTTTTCTGGACTCTGCATTCACCTTAGAGCAGCAACTTCTGAACTTGGCATCAGAATCTCCTGGGGGACTCTTCAGTAATGTGGATTCTTGGGTCTAGTCCCAGACCCACTGAATCAGAATCTGTATGCTGTGCCCAAGAGTCTGCATTTTATTTTATTTTATTTTATCTTACTTTATTTTATTTTTTGAGTTGGAGTCTCACTCTGTCGCCCAGACTGGAGGGCAGTGGCCGCTCCCAGACTGGAGGGCAGTGGCCGCTCCCAGCCACCACAGCCTTGACCTGCTGGGCTCCTTCTGCCTCAGCCTTCCAAGTAGCTGGAACTACAGGCGCGTGCTACCACGCCCAGCTAATTTTTGATTTATCATAGAGATGAGGGCTCACCAAGTTGCCCAGGCGGGTCTCGAACCCGTGGACTCAGGCAGTCCACTCACTTCAGCCTCCCAAAGCTCAGGATTACAGGCTAAGACACCGAGCCTGGCTAGAATCTGCATTTTAAAAATCTACCTCGGAGATGGTGTTATAGCTGGCATGTATATTGGGACTGAGATCTGGGGACTGTTATATTAGGTGACTGTTTCTCCAATTATGTATGATTTTGTGATGTAAGTAGTTGTGACATAAAAAACGTTTACAGACAGTACATGGTGATGTCCATTCTGAGCTAGGTAGACTATTTAGCTTTCTGATTAAAATCTGTCAGGTTCATGGAAGAAGTTAGATTCCTTAAAATTTAAGGATGAAACTGTAAATAGCCATGGGATTATTATTGCCAGTAAATGTTTTATTTATTTTTGAATTGGAATCTCACTATGTTGCCCAGGCTGGAGTGCAGTGGCGCACTCACGGCCACCGCAACCTTGACTTGCTGGGCTCAAGTGATCCTTCTGCTTCAGCCTTCCAAGTAGCTGGAACTAAGGGCATGTGCCACCATGCCCAGGTAATTTTTCTTGATTTATTGTTGAGAGGAGGTCTCGCCAAGTTGCCCAGGCTGGTCTTGAACCCCTGGGCTTAGGCAGTCCCCTCGCCTCCCAAAGTGCTGGGATTACAGGCGTGAGCCACCGCGCCTGACTGTTTTTATTTTATTTTCTTCCTTTTTTATTTTGTAGGTATGCAAGGCAGATGAAAAATTTAATCAGCTGGTACATTTTCTTCAAAATCATAAGCAGGAAAAACACCTGATCTTCTTCAGGTAAGAGAAGGGGCCTCTGGTGGGGAGTCAGGGATTCTTCCACACCCAGAATGTGCAGCTGTGTGTGGCCCTTGGGGTTTGATGGTGCTCTCGGGAATCCTTTTTGAAAACCCAACTTCTGTGGCTCAGACAGGACGTGCTTCTTGTGCTCCTGTGTAAGAAGTCCAGCAGGGCCGGGCTCGGTGGCTCAGCCTATAATCCCAGCCCTTTGGGAGGCCACGGTGAGTGGATTGCCTGAGCCCACAGGTTTAAGACCCACCTGGGCAACTTGGCGAGACCTCGTCTCTACAATACACCAAAAATTAGCCAGGCATGGTAGCGCGCATCTGTAGTTCTGGCTACTTGGAAGGTTGAGGCGGAAGGATCGCCAGAATCCAGCAGGTCGAGGCTGCCGTGGTATGGAGCATGCCACTGCACTCCAGTCTGGGCGACAGAGACTCGAACTCAAAAAAAAAAAAGTCCAATAGGAGGCAGTTTCTGACTTTGACTTAATGTCTTAGTATCATCAAGGTCAATGTTTATGTGAATGTCTTGGTCTGTCCCTTGTGTATGTCACCTCATGGTTTCCATATAGCCACTGTAACACCCTCTCATGCCTGCACTGGAGAAGGACAAGAGAAGAAAGGTGGGGAACAGTGTCAGCTGTAGCATCCCTTTCAAGCAGAAAGCTTCCTTGGAAACCCCTCCACCTAGCTGACTTCGGCTATGAATTCATCTTAGGAGCCCAAAGTAGGTCACACGGCAGTTCCTTACTTCCAAGAGCAGCAAAGGAAATGAACGTGGAGCTTTCCTGGCTCTGTAGTAGAGGCAGGCAAAGGGAACAATGGTTGGGAGTGGTGTTTGATCAGCCACCGGCTGAATCTCCCCCAGTGGGGCTTTGTCCTGTGGTCAGAAGGCAAGATGGGAACAGATGTGTACGTTCGTTGGGCTGGTTGTGTTTTTTTCTCTATCTCCTCCAAATAAAAATGGGTTGATCTTTGGCAGTACCAAATTTTATGTTTCTTTTTCATCCATCATTCTATAAATAAGATGCATCAGCTGCATTGACTACAGTAAGAAATACAATTTAGTATGCACACAAAAATGAAAATAAAATAAAATGGTGCCTTCTGCCAGGTGGGATGCATTCTGATGTTTTTTGTTCTGTTCTACTTCATTTCATTTTTTAAAAAATGCTAGGCTGTGTGCAGTGGCTCATGCCTCATGCCTATAATCCCAACACTTTGGGAGCCTGAGGTGAAAGGATTGCCTGAGCCCACGCGTTCAAGATCAGCCTGGGCAACTTGGCGAGACCTCATCTCTATAACAGGTCAAAAAATTAGCCGGGCTTGGTGGCATGTGCCTGTAGTTCCAGCTACTTGGAAGGCTGAGGTGGAAGGATCACCTGAGCCCAGCAACTCGAGGCTGTCGTGGCCATGAGTGTGCAACAGAGAGAGACTCTGACTCAAAAAAAAAAAAAAAAAGCTGGCCGAGACCCGTTAAATTGATTTTGGGACCCACCAGATTCCTTTCAGGATCTGTGGACTATGACCCTTGGTGTATAAAACACCCCTCTATCATACACTTATGAGACTCGTGGTGGAAAAGAGTGACAAATCTGGTAGCAGTCACTTATGGGGGGGGTGTTTAAGTAGATAGGGGTTGGCCCACGCTGGATGCTGCAGACTAGGGTCGTGGGAGGAACACGGGGGAATCAGACCTTGGTTCTGGCTCTGCCACTTCCTCATTGCCTCTGGTCAGCTTCAGTTCCCTCACTTGCGAAAGGATGAGAAATCACTCGGAATCCTTCCAGTTAAGGAAAAAAGGGGTCAGAGTCAACTTTATCAGACGGTTGCTGGATTGGGAGCTCACAGACTCAAAGAGAAAGCTGAGTGCCCAGCCCCTAGACGCCCCCTGGCAGGAGTTCATGGCCCCATCACCTTGGGGTGCATCTTCACTGGGATGACTGTGCTCTTGCCTGCTTCCATTCTTGGATTACTCAGCCCCATATCCAAAATATCTGGGAGAAGGGATCTGGCTGGTCTGACTTGGATTATTTGCTGAACTCTTGGGAATCCTGCTAACTGAGGAAGAAATGGGTCCCTGATGAAAAAGCAGGAGTGTTTAAAAAAAAAAAAAAAAAAAAAAAAATATATATATATATATATTTTTAGAGTCGGAGTCTCTGTCTCTTGCCTAGGCTGGAGTGTGGAGGTAGGATCACGGCTTACTGCAGCCTCAACCTCCTGGACTCAGGTGGTCCTTCTACCTCATACTCCTGAGTAGCTGGGACTACAGATGTGCACCACCATGTCCAGCTAATTTATTTTACATTTTTTTTGTAAAGACAAGGTCTTGCTTTGTTGTCCAGGTTGGTCTCAAACTCCTGGGTTCAAGCAATCCTCTTGCCTTGGGATTCTAGGAGTGAGCCATTGTATCCAGGCCTTAAAAATCTTGTAAGACTATTTGTGTCTAACATGTTATTGCTTTTGTTTTTTTAATTCCTTTATCAAGGGGCCAGGGAGATTCCCCTTGCTAGAACATCTTTCATGGTAGAATATATCCTTGGGGTTTTAACTCCTGAAGAGATTTTGTCAAAACATTGGCTTTCCATTGGCTGAGAGGGTTTCAGATTTAGAGCTTAGTTGTGGATGATATTCACAGTCATTCCCTTCATTCTCCAAAGGAGGGTCTTTGTGTGTGTGTGTGTGTGTGTGTGTGTGTCAGTCAGTTGGAGTCTTACTCTGTCACCCAGGCTGAAGTGCAGTGACATGCTCATGACTACCACAGCCTCGACCTGCTGGGCTCGGGCAATCCTTCTGTCTAATCTTCCAAGTAGCTGGAACTACAAGTGTGCGCCATATCACACCTGGCTAATTTTTTGATTTATTGTGGGATCAAGATCTTGCCAAGTTTCCCAGGCTGGACTCGAACCCCTGGGCTCAGGCAATTCTCTTGTCTCTGTCTCCCCAAGTGCTGACATTACAGGCATGAGCCACCCGGCCCAAGGAGAGTAACAGATCGTGTCGACTGCACGTGTTGCTCACTGTTCTCTCCTCCAAGTTGTAGAAAGGCTGAGGTGGCCACCAGCTCCAAGCCCTCTGTTCCCCTTCACAGCACCTGCGCCTGTGTGGAATACTACGGCCAGGCCCTGGAGGCCCTGGTGAAGGGCGTGAAGATAATGTGCATACATGGGAAGATGAAGTACAAGCGCAGTAAGATCTTCATGGAGTTCCGCGGACTGCAGAGGTGGGTTGGCCCAAGATGGCGCGTCTCCAGCCACTCTGCATGTCTCTCAGTCTCCACACTCGCCCTTTCTCCCTCTGCTTCCCCTGTCCTCTCCCCAGGCCTGCTGGTTCCTGTCCAGAACCCTCTCCCCTCCCTAACCCAGTGACTGCCTCTCCTCTGCATCAGCCTCCAGAGCCCCCTGGCCTAACTCCCTGTACACTTCACTGTCCTTAGTGAGGCACCCCCTGCTAGAGTGTGTGCTCCACAGAGCTCTGCATTTGGTGTTCACTCCTGGATCTCCCCGTGCCTGGCCAGCGGAGGGCTGTGACGAAGGTTTGTGGATAGTAGAGCAGAAAGGAACCTCCTTTAGTCGTGGTGGTTTGGAAACTGTGGCTTTTGAGGCTTGTAGCTATACAACATGGAACTTGTGGTCACTTAATGACCATGACTTATTTTGGTTTGTGCGTAGAAGCAACTTTCTGTTTTTCTTGTTTTTTAAAGAAAAGAAAAGTTTATTTAAAAGTAAATTAGAGAGAGAAAGAGAGAGAAGAGAGAAGATTTACCTCCCCAAGGTGGGGGAGGGGGCCAAAGCCAGGAAGCGTGGTGACAGCCATAGCTCAAAGAGCACATGGCCACACCAGAGTGAGCAAGGCAGTGGCCCTGTTTTTCTTAATCATTGGGCATCCCGACCACATTAAAAGTATTCTTTTTTTTTTTGAGTTAGAGTCTCACTCTGTCGCCCAGACTGGAGTGCAGTGGCTGCTCCCGGCCACCGCAGCCGCGACCCGCTGGGCTCCAGCGATCCTTCCGTCTCCGCCTTCCCAGAGCTGGAATTCCAGGCGCGCGCTACCACGCCCGGCTCGTTTTTGATTTATTGTGGAGATGAGGTCTCGCCAAGTTGCCCGGGCGGGTCTTGAACCTGCGGGCTCAGGCAACCCAACTCACCTCAATCTCCCAAAGTGCTAGGATTACAGGCTGAGCCACCGAGCCCAGCCTAAAAGTATTCTTACAGGCAAAGTGATACACCAGACTGTTGTGTTTCAGTTATGGAGTAAAAATTCCATTTGTTTCTTAAAAGGGCTGCAAAGGAGTCAACCCACTAGTGTTTTGTTCTTCAAGTGGAAATACACTAATTTAAAAAATCCTTCCACCGTCTTGCTCCTCAACTCAGTTTTCATCAGGAATTTGTAACGTACTGGAGATTTTCAGGAGATACAAAAAAATCAAAATATTAAAGTCAGAATATTAACATCAATTCGTACTTGCTTCTGTGAAAAACTTGGGAACCTGTGTGTTCCCACCATCATCATCAAGAGCAGCAGAGACTGTTGGATGTGGGGGAGGATGGTGCCTCCCTGCTCAGAAAGCTGTTTTCTCCTTTTCTAGTGGGATTTTAGTGTGCACTGACGTGATGGCCCGGGGAATAGATATCCCTGAAGTAAACTGGGTTTTGCAGTACGACCCTCCCAGCAGTGCAAGGTATGGCCCGAAGAATTGCACCCTCTCTGTCTAGGATCCAGCTTAGGGAGATGGGAATCCTGGGCAAGAGGAACACTCAGTGATGTTCACCAGGACATCATTTGAAATAGCAAAAACAGGGTGAATAACCTGCCCATTTCACTGGGTAAAATAGTGATTTTTTTTTTTTGAGTTGGAGTCTCACTCTGTCGTCCAGACTGGAGTGCAGTGGCATGCTCCTGGCCACCACAGCCTCGACTTGCTGGGCTCCAGGGATCCTTCTGCCTCAGCCTTCCAAATAGCTGGAACTACAGGCATGCGCTACCATGCCCGGCTAGTTTTTTTGTTTGTTTGTTTTGTTTTTGATTTACTGTAGAGACGAGGTCTTGCCAAACTGCCCGAGTGTGTCTCGAACCTGCAGGCTCAGGTAATCCACTCGCTTCGGCCTCCCAAAGTGCTGGGATTACAGGTTGAGCCACCGAGCCCCGGCCAAGATAGTGATCTTATATTGCAGCAATTAAAGACATTTTCAAATACTCTAAGTTCTTGCAGAAATGCACATGATAAAATGTTTAAGTGAAAATGCAATACGTAACACTACATAAGAAAATTGCAGTTATTTTCTCCAAAAGTAAGCTTACATTCCTAACATATGCTTCTAAACATAGGAAAATGCCTATAAATATAAACCCCCAAGTGATGATAATGGTCGCTTCTGAGATAATAGGTTGTTTTCATTTTATTTCTTATACTTTTCATTGTTCCCCAAATTTTCTACTGGGACCATGTCCTGCCTGTATGATCAGAGGGAAAGGTAAAAGTTAATATGTTTTACTTCAAGTTCCCATTAAGTGTCTCTTACAGAATTATTTCTGTTTGCAATGTCTGTGTAATTGCAAGTTCTTTTGTCCCTCACACTGGTAAGTGGTTGAGTCTGCACTGAACTGTGGAGTCTGGCGGCTCCTCATAGCAGTTTAGCTGTGACAGCTGTGTGGCTTGGGCTCGGGTATGCTCAGCTGTTGTCATCTGGGTGCCCTTTCTGTCCTGTGTTCTCACAGTGCCTTTGTGCATCGCTGCGGCCGCACAGCCCGCATCGGCCATGGTGGCAGTGCTCTGGTTTTCCTCCTGCCCATGGAAGAGTCGTACATCAATTTCCTTGCAATCAACCAGAAAGTAAGCCCTCTTTTCTTTTCATGTAGAACACTCAGTGACAGGGTAGCTGGGACAGTTCTCTTGCATATGTTTAGGAAATTGTCATGGGTTGCAAGGTCACAGGCCCTGGGCTGGTGATGGCAGTGGGGGACCCTGGCAGGCTTGAAGACTGTTGTGGCATCTCGGTCATAGAGTGACTGAGCCTCATGTGGGTTTGTGGCAGTGGACTCTGGTGGAGTGTCCTGCTTGAGAACACAGACCCAGGGTTGGCCACACTTTCTTACCAGATTAAGGTTAGCATGTGAAATCTAACTTTTATTTACTATTTATTTATTTTTAAAACCTTTGAGTCTCACTCTGTTACCCAGGCTGGTGTGCAGTGGCATGCTCATGGACACGGCAGCCTTGATCTTCTTGGGTTTAGGTGATCCTTCTGCCTTCCAAATAGCTGGAACCACAGACACATGCCACCATGCTTGGCTAATTTTTCTGATTTATTATAGAGATGAGATCTTGCCAAGTTGCCCAGGCTGATCTTGAATCCCTGGGCTCAGGTGATCTTCTTGCCTCAGACTTGAAATCTGTCTTTTAGATGTTTTAGAAATTTTGATTGAGCATGGTGGCTCACGCCTATAATCCCAGCACTTTGGGAGATCAAGGTAAGAAGATGACCTGAGCCCACGGGTTTGAATCCAGCCTGGGCAACTTGGCGAGCTCTCATCTCTACAATAAATCAAAAAATTAGCTAGGTGTGTTGGCACGTGCCTGTAGTTGTGGCTACTTGGAAGGCTGAGGCGGAAGGATCGCCTGAGCCCAGCAGGTCGAGTCTGCGGTGGCTATGAGAGTGCCACTGCACTCTAGCCTGGGCGATAGAGTGAGACCCTGACTCAAAAAAGAAAAAAGAAATTTAAAATACTTTTTACTTGGATCAAGTAAAATACCTGATTTGGATTTAGGGTGTGGGCCTCTGATTTAAGATTAAAATGTTTTGCCTTGGGCGTTGTTGGTGCTGACTGTGATGGGGGAGCATTGGGGATGAGGTGATGCTGGTCAGAAGAGGTGAGAATGTGGTCTCTGTGCAGTGCCCCTTGCAGGAGAAGATGCTCGAGAAAAACACAGCCAACCTTCTGCCAAAGCTCAAGTCCCTGGCCCTGGCCGACAGAGCTGTCTTTGAAAAGGGCATGAAAGCTTTTGTGTCATATGTCCAGGCTTATGCAAAGCATGAATGCACCCTCATTTTCAGATTAAAGGGTAAGCTGGACTTTTTCTTCACATAATTGTGCCTCCACCTTAACTCTGTGGTGGCCTTACCACACTAAGCAATTTGTCTCATAAAAATGTGGTTTTCTCCTTGTCTAGTGGGATTTTAGTGTGCACTGAGGTGCTGGCCGAGGAATCAATATTAGGTTTTGGTGTTTTCTAAACAGTTAAAAACTGGCCACTGGCTACTGGGAATTCCTTTCTGTGTAAGATGAATTCATTAGATTCTGTGGTGAGGAAAAACTGTGTTGTAAGGAGTCTTCCATGGTTTTCTTATAGCCGTACTCTGGGTTTGCTAACTCTGATATTTTGATTTAACCAGACCTTGATTTTGCCAGCCTTGCACGAGGTTTTGCCCTGCTGAGGATGCCCAAGATGCCAGAACTGAGAGGAAAGCAGTTTCCAGATTTTGTACCTGTGGACGTTGACACAGACACTATTCCATTTAAAGATAAAATTAGAGAAAAGCAGAGGCAGAAACTACTGGAGCAACAAAGAAAAGAGAAAATAGAAAATGAAGGGAGAAAAAAATTCATAAAAAATAAAGCTTGGTCAAAGCAGAAGGCCAAAAAGGAAAAGAAGAAAAAAATGAATGAGAAAAGGAAAAGGGAAGAGGTAATAAAGTTTGCAATTTTCTTTATTACTTAAATTTCAAATTAGAATTTTGAAAAGGCTGGGCTTGGTGGCTCAGCCTATAATCCCAACACTTTAGGAGTTTGAGACAAGTGGATTGCCTGAGCCTGTGGGTTCAAGACCAGCCCGGGCAACTTGGCAAGACCTCGTCTCTACAATAAATAAAAAATTAGCTGAGCGTGGTAGTGCATACTTGTAGTTCTGGCTACTTGGAAAGCTGGGGTGGAAGGACCACTGGAGCCCAGTGAGTCGATGCTGGGGTGGCCATGAGCGTGCCACTGCACTCCAGCCTGGGCCACAGAGTGAGACTCCAACTCAAAAAGAAAAATTCTTAACAAATTTTATTCTAATAGATCATATGTTTGTGCATGTGTGTGTAAATAGTCTTGCTGTGTTGCCGAGGCTGGTCTTTAACTCCTGGCCTCAAGCAGTCCTCCCTCGGTCTTCCAAAATGCTGAGATTACAGGCCTGCCTGTAATAGAATCTTTAAAAAGGAATCGTGTGGGGCTCTCAAATTCTTGTTCTGTTGGTGACTAGGGTGGGGGAGTTGCTGTATTTGTGGAAGTTGATCTGAGAACTTACAATTCTTGATTGAAAACTGTTTGAGAAACTTAGTAGTTTGTTGGTTTCTTCTGCACTTAGGGTTCTGATATTGAAGATGAGGACATGGAGGAACTTCTTAATGACACAAGGCTCTTGAAAAGGTTAAAAAAAGGCAAAATTACTGAAGAAGAATTTGAGAAGGGATTGTTGACAAGTGGTAAAAGAACAAGCAGGACAGCAGATTTAGGACCCTCAGACTTGGAAGATGACTGCTGATTCCTGTGCCACAGACCTGCGGGGCACAGCTGACCTCTGACTGGGCACACGGCTCCCCGCTGCCTTTACTGCAAATCAGAACTGCAGATCTTGTCCAAGAATCACATCTCTACAAGCTGTCCCTTTAGACTGGGGGAAACTAGGGGTTTCACACTCATGAGTAGTGTACTAAAACCATACCAGTCTTAAAGAAATCTAACAGAAGAAAATGTAAAATTTTTTGAGTGTAAATAATAGATGTCAATATTTATTTACCTTGATGGGTCTCCTATAACTAAAGAGTTCATTTTTTCTGAGGTTATTTTGTACTTATTTTTTTTTTTTTTTTTTGAGTTGGAGTCTCACTCCGTTGCC